CCTTTATCTCTTTCTCACTAATTTCACTACTACTAGTTAATTTATTCTTAGTTTTTTCTAGTTGCTTTTGGATAAAAGTATTGTTAAACTTTACTAGCTCAACTTGAGCCTCTAATAAATCATCCAATAATTCTTTCTGTTCCATTTTACTTTTCTCCTTTATTACAATAAGCAGGTTGTTCAACTCTGATTTGTGACCAATCAATTTCCTTTCTAATAATTCTTTTTCTAGTGAACACACTTTTTTTTCCAACTCAGTAACCTTTTCTCTGAGTTTTAAGTTTTCTGTTTGCTTCAAACTTAAATAATGTTTTATTTCCTGTTTTTGAGCAACTAATTCTTGCTGTTGACTAACTGATAAGTCTACATCTGATTGTTTTTGTCCCAAGGCTTCTTTAACTTTATTTAATTCTAACCGTTTTTCTCCTATCTCCTTTTTAAGTTCTTCATTTTCTTCTCGCAAATTCCGACTTTGACTAAGTGATAATTGCAATTTTTGATAAATTTGATTTAATTGTAACTGTTTTATTTCTATCTCCTTTTTAAATTCTTGATTTTCTTTTCGCAAATTTTCCAATTCTGTTGATGAGTTTTGCAACTCTTCAGAGATAACCTCATCTACTTTTCCATATTTTTTGTGAGTTACAAAATCAAAATAAGGATCTTGCACAGGTAGTGACCTACGCATAATGAATTATTTTAATAGTTTTTTGGTAAAAATTAATTTATTTTGATATTAATAGTTTTTTTGGTAAAGAATTAATTTATTTTGATATTAATAATTTTTTTGGTAAAAATTAATTTATTTTGATGTTGTGCGTGAAAATCAAATTTGTGTCAATTTGAAATTTACCAATTAAATTTTGGGGTGGGTGTTTGAATTTCACACGCGGGAATTTCAAATTAATAATTTTTTTTTCATTTTGGAGTTGTCCTACCAAATATTGACTACGCCCCCAAAATAAATTCCTTTCTAGCAGCATAAGTTCCCAGTGGGAGGATTGTTCAGCATTGTTGGTAATAATAATATTACCAAACGCACAAATTTGAAACCAAGCATTGTAAAAAAAATGACATTTTTAAAAACAGAATATAGAAAATCAAATTTTCTCATTTTACGTATTTTTTAAAGGGTCGTGTAAGCTTTGAATGATGTTGATGAAGTCCAATGTCGGTGAGATTTATGATGAAGATTTGCTGCTCAAATTCCAAACAAGTCTTTATTATTTCCTTTTATGAACTCCGTCACCACTTTGGAGCTTTGCTTTGTGCAAAATTGGGATAGAACCACTCGATTTTTCACGATATACAAACAATCTGTGTGCCAAATTTGCTTCTATGAACAGCTCACTCACATGCAACTGAAAACACTGCTGACGATTTTACCACTTCTGTCACTGCCGAACTCCTGTCATCTACGATTGTATATATATATAAGCAAACTAAGAATAATCAATTTGCTGTATGCGCTAGTAATGAATTATAAATAAATTGTTGTTCCTCTTTTTGCGCAATTTCTTCTTGAAAGGAGAAGAAAAAAGAACGAAATTGATAATGTCTCTAAATTTTTTAAATCTAAGCTGATTGCTTAGAATTATTTAAAATGTGTGATATAAAAAAAAAATTGTTTTCTTACAGTAATTCGGATCCAACATAAAGAAATTTCCAACTATTGACATAATTGAATTCTTGAATCACAGATTCTGCGTTATTCCGACAAGTGTTTCATCGTCCATTCTGCTACAATATTTGTATAAAAACATTGTTTATTAAAAAAGAGATTTATAATAATTGTTAAATCTAATACCGATTAATATTAAAAAAGAGAAAAAAAACAAGTCTAATTGTCCTTAACCACACATTAATTATTTTGTCGGTAAATAAATCAACAAAAATATTTTTATATTCAGAGACCAATCGAATATCTATATCTTTATATCTTCTTAGGTTCTCAATTATATAAAGAACCTAAAAAATCGGGTGGTGGGCAACGCATAGTTACGCGTAGCGATTCAAAGCGAGGTACCTTTAAAGAAACCGAATATTTCCGTACAAGCTAAAGAATTTTTGGTTTTTTTTATTTTTGTTAATATTAATGTAAATTTATTTGTCGTCTTTGTTTTACAGCATTAATAAAATATTGGTACATAATTATATATATTTATATTGTATTTTATCTACTAATGTATCTATCTATCTATAATATCTTTATTATTAGACATATATGATATTTACTATGATGATGATGATGATGATGATGATGATGATGATGATGATGGTGATGATGATGATGGCGCTGTTAATGAAATATTATTATAATTATTATTATTATTACTAGGTTTTTTTTGTCTTGACTTTAGTTTTAAATTATTATTTCCATCATCATATTCATCATCATATTCATCATCATTATCATCATCACCATCCAAGTCATCATCATCATCATCGTCGTCGTCGTCACCATCATCATCCAAGTCAGCATCATCTTCAGCTTCTTTTTTTGCAATATATTTTAATAAATCTTTAACAGTAATCAAACCAACTAATCTATCTATATGTTCAATTAATATTACTCTTGGCCTAAAATCAAATAAAAAAAAGGTATCGATTAAAAGAAAAATTTTGAAATCAATATAATTGTTTTTATGGAATCAATTACCCACCCCATTTTCTTAAATAAATCCATGACAGTTTCTAATGGCAAACGAGGATTCACCGTTATAGGCGTCTTATTATTAATTAATCATTGTTTTAAAAAGTTGTGCAAGTAGTAATAATTATTCATAATTAAGCAACAATCATTGTTTTGTTAGTAATTACCTGATCAACAAAAGGACCAAAATCTATAAAATTAGATGAACTGCTATTACTACTTTCTCCATCACCACCACCAACATCAGGATCATTATTAGTAGTAACATAAATGCTATTATTATTAAAATCATCAAAACTACTAAAAAAACAATGCGCAGTTCCAATTGATGTTCCTTTTATTCTTTTTGCTTTATCTAATTTATTCATTTTCCATAATACAAATAAATATATAAGTTAATGTATATAAATATCAAATAAAACCATAATCAGTTGGATTAGTTACCAATTGCGTATTTCAGTTCAGGACGTCCTATATGTCCTAAAAGTTGCATACTTCTTTTATTTTGTACCACTGGAAACCCTTGAAAATTTGATTCTGATAATATTCATTCTGATTTTTTTTAATATTATACATAAAAAAAAATAAAAATTAATCTTTTTTTTTTAAACAAAGGATTAAAAATAATAATAATAACATATACTCCTTTATTATTATTATTATTACCAATTTCGTCCAATTTTAATCCTGATGCTGTCATTACTGTAAGATTTTTTCTCATAATAGTTGCAACTATCATATAATCATCACCAAAACAATAAACAATTATATATTTATATAATACAATCTTGGAAGAAGAAATTATTTAAAAAAAATAATCCCATTCAACTAACCTGGAACACCAAATGTATATTCTTCTTTATCCAAAAATTTAATCTTATCATTTGGTCAGCAGTAAATTAAACCAATTAAGGGGAAATAATTAAATAAATGAACTTGGTATTTGAAAGAGGATTTAATTTTTGGTACAATGAAGTAATTGCTTTGCTGGAGGAACTTTCAATATCACTA